AAGGCAGCGTCCTTAGTTACATCAAGTGAAGTCCGATCACGAAGAAGAATTTCTCAAAAGCGTGGTCAGAAAAAATGGGCTGGATTAATTAAAGAAGAGAACGAAATCCTTTACAGCAAGAAAAACTGAGGATAAAAGGAACACGGTAACGAAGGAGCTGACTTGGCAGATATAATATCAACAGATGAATAAGCAGGCTGAAGGGAAGGTATTAATGAATGCTTTTCTTATACAGTCAAGATGGTGCTCGTCGGAAATTTTGAAAAGAACCCCTACGAGGTACCAAATCCCGTTTTTTGGCCGTGGCTTAAATATTTTTTCAACCCTAAGAGGCAGCAATTCTAAAACAACACATTAACTGACGCTTTCATAATTTTTAATGGCGATAAAGACGATTGCTTTGAATATCTTCTACTTGTAAAGTTGATTGTCAAATATCTCCCGTCATATTTTTTCGTCTCAATACCCTCTAAGCTACCACGAAAGCTCCCGCTGTGGACCTTTTGAGGCTGGACATCCTAAGGTACCAAATAAAACCGCTTCTTAACCCCTAAAAGGTACGACAAACATCCCCGTCTTTTTTATAAGGGAACTTCCCCGGGGAAGATGACTGCCAGCCCAATCATTCAGAGAAAAAAAAAAACTACCAAGGAGCTAAAGAGCGACTTATCAAATCTGATAGGAACTTTATCCGTTGAAATTTAGAGTAATGACAACTTCTCTCACGTCATGCATTCATTCAGACTGTTTTCTAAGGACGGTTTGACTTTTACGATTCTAGAGAGGTGCATATTCGAGGGGAAGTTTGGCACCTCTTGTAAGCCTGTAATTCTATGTGTCGCCTCATTATAGCAGCTAATTGTTGCTTCGGGCTCCTTTTGTCTGTTCTTTTGTTGCAAGAGTTACTACCCGACTTTATTTGAGGAGGAAGAGCTTATCCACGGTGGCCTTAATATAGGAAATACTGTACCGTGAAGTTCATGATATTTTTACGCTGATTTTATAAAGAGACAATTAACTCCATGGCCAAACACGGTAAAAGCCTACCAAAAAAGCACCTGTGCACAACTTTGTCTTTCGTGGTTTTCTCGTTTCCTTTCTCTCTACCACGATGATGACCTCGTGTGACACGGAGCACAGGAAGGCACTTCTGATATATCAGGGAAACCTCCATAGTGATTTCTTGTCCTTACAGACTAGAGATGCTTGTAGTTTCCCCCATGTAAATCGATTTAGTCGCAGAGGAAGAAAGGCAATCTAGCACAGTCAATACTAAAAGTCTAAAAGGGAGCGTAAGGCCCCGCCTACACTACGCCGGAGAAATTTGATCACGTGTTACTATGGTTAGCACCCGCGTTCCAATCTAGCGAAGCCAAGTTCGATTCCCGGATTCGTCGGGTGTTTTTTTTTTTTTTCGAGTAGAGTCCCTTCGATCGTATTCGCAACCTATTGATCGCGTAAAGCAGACTAAGCTTTCGTCTTCAGCAACGCAGGTCATGTAGTGGAACTTTGCCAGTTCTTGTACTCATGTAACATGCGGGAAAAGTCATTCTTTTTTTTAAAAGACTGCTGTTATAACAAGTATTGCCAGAAGTCAATATGGTAACTCGAATAAGCAGAATAACCCGTAAGCCACACGTCAATCATGATCCACTGGCAAATCGACAAGTTTGCTCATAGAGCACTTTGATTTTTATACTATTGTAAAGTAATTTTTTTTACGATAACTGCAGAAATTCTCGCTTGCTTATTGGCTAATTTTCATTGTCAATAAGCAGACAGACACATGAATTTAAAATTTACACGATGCATCAACGAGCAAGAGCAGACAATCTGACAGTTTGTTATCGTAAAAAACAAATTGATGTCAGTTTTTCATGCTTCTGTCCTGTTATTGACAATGAATTTCGTCAAAACATTGTCAAAGTACCAGTAGTCTGCGGAACCACTCGGCTATTTCCTCATGGATCCACAGCTACTTTGACAATGTTATGACGAAATTCATGATCATTAACAGGACAGACGCATGAAAAGCTGACGTCAGTGGGTCTTTTGCACCAATTTGTGGCTGAAAAGCCCCTATTGGGGGAGATTCAATAAATGTATGTATTTATGTATGTGAATTAAAATATCTGAGTGCAATCTCAGCAGTGCTGGATGCTAGACATTTGTACTGACAGTAGTGACTTCGTTTTGTGGAGAGAAGGGTAAGAGAATTTTGTAAGCCCTCCTTACATATGGTTGCCACGCCTCGAATTAGAATTGACTAATCAGGATTCAGCAGGCGGGAAAAACTGTACTGTCCTGAAGTTCAACTTTCAAGAGGGGTGGAGGGTTTAAACCGAAAAAGTTACAAAGTTAAAAAAGGTTAAAGACAGACAATCCCAATCCACTAAATAAATTGAAAAATTTTGTACAATTGTTTTGGTCTCAGACCCTCTGCAGTCACAGAGCCTTTTTATGTTTTTACATCACCAGGTGAGTGCTGAAAACATAATTTGTTGACAATCACTCTCCTGGTCATTCTTCTGGATGTTACAGAACATCCAATGAACCCAAGTAATGATATCAAAAGAAATCAAATTATGAAACAATATGAAATACCACTGTTTATTGAGTTCATTTTTTAAAAGGAATTTCCTTTCATCCCTTACATGTAATATCTTCTAGTCAGTTATAACTCACTGCATATCCAGGCTTTGAATGCTAAGTCAAAAGTCACGATTGTGAATAGATGTCTTCTGTTTCTCAAGCCTTTTGTTTTATGATGATCCAGGATAACTTAGAGTGCTCTTGCATGTTCCAAAATTTATATTGCATAATAAAGTTGATAACTACTGGGTTTTTTCAATGACAATTTGATTTTCATTTCTGCACTTGTTCCTCACTGTACTATCAAAAATATTATTTACTAAATTACAATACCAATAGGTTTAGAGCACTTTTTTTATTTTAAATCATTCTATTTGTACTGTGTAGATGGATGACCATCATGGAATACTTCCTCTATCGGAGCCCACCAGTTGCCTCCCTTGCCTCCCTCACTCGGTGGCGGCCCTGTCCAATCTAATGACTCCTGACAAGGTTCACAGATCTTCCACCAGTCCCTCGTGACTGGATCACTTCCTATTGCTGCCATGTCCTTCTCCAAGTCATCCCCTAAATAAAATCCAGAGTTAGTTATTATTGCTACAATCAGAATGCTGCAAATTTATTACTGTAATGTTATGAATAAATTTGCTGGTTAATTAGCCATTAAGTTACCAGTTAAAGTGTAATTTTTATTGTTTTTAAGCTCAAAAACTATTCCATTCCGCATGGTTAACCTATATTTACTTTACAGAATGCACTGTACTGGGGTTTACAGCTCACTAGAGACTTTCCATGGCAACAATTCCTTTCAAATTGTTTAATAGTAATTATTCATTTCTACGAAGACTTACTGATATATTCCATGTGAGAAAACAATAAGTGGTGATATTTGTCATAATAAATGGTGCACCTCAGAATGTACTGTACTGGGGTTTACAGCACACTAGTGATTTTCCACTGTATCGATTCCTTTTTAATTATTTAAATTACGGTAATTATTCCTTTCTTAATAGACTTACCGATATATTCCATGTGAGAGAACAATAACTGGTGATATTTGTCATAATAAATGGTGTAGTTCCTGATATTGCTGTCATATATTCTTTGCAACACCTGGAATTTACCCAATAACATGTACAGCCAATTAATGATAAATGGTTGTAAGCTTAAATACAGTGGAATTCCGATTTTTCAAACCTCCAAGGGAAATGAAAAGTGGTTCGAAAAATCGGATAGTTCGAGAAATCGGGGGTAAAATTACAGCATTTTACTGAGGAGGGGAAACGACTTTTGGTTCGAGTTGTCGGGAGGTTCGAAAAAATGAGAGTTCAATTCGTATGAATACTCAGGTCTAGTTGAAGGGACGCAGATCAGATCAGATAACTACTTATTACCTGTGGCCATACTGCAGCATGCAGTTCTTTGTACTTCTCATACGATTCTGGCTTTAATTTGATGACAGATCCCAATCTCTTTGCTATTTTAGAAGTGGAAGCCATCTTGTCGCTGCGCGCGGGTTGTGTCGCTGGGTTAGTCGCTGCGGGATCACTGGTATTGATCAGTCTTCCTTTGGTTTAAATTACATGACGTAGTAACCGATTTACTTCCGCTAACCAAATCGCAGGCTATCAAGATGGCGGACTGGTTGACTCTTGTGTCCGCTTTCATAATTGTGTTATGTTTTCTTATGTTGGGTCGGTTTATAATCAGACTAGGTGCCATGGAAAGAGAGGCCATGTTTGATCATTTTAATCTTCCTCCAAGGGAAATCCCTTCACAACATATGGTTGGTGTAAAGAATCCATTCCTATTGAAACTGAAGACAGATGATCAGCTGACGAATGGTTCCACGATAAAAACAGGTGATCTGCTATTAATGAAAGTTTATATATCCAAATTATACTAGCTAATAAATTTAACAAGCTTACGTTTAATAACAGACTGTCTGTTACAGTGCGACTAGTTCAACCAAGCTAAGGCTGGTCTCACAAAAGTCTATGAGCTTGCAAATTTGAGCTTACATTGCAAACTTAAGGATTGAAAACCTCAGTTGTTAACGGTAGATTTCTGACAAATTAGCCATCTTAACACACTACTGTACAGAAAAAAAGAAATACGTGGCCATTTGTATCGTTTTAAATCACTCAAACATCATTTGTCAATATTCAAAGAATGTTCTTGGGTCGCTTTGTTTGGAAATAGTCCCACCATAGGCTTAAATAAGAGTGAAAACGAATAGGTTTTGTCCTTCCGAGAATTCAAATGAAGGTATAAAACAAATTGTCCTACCTTCCAATTCAAACGCGTTTTCCAATTGGAGGAAAACGTGTCACATGTCATGGGTCAAAACTCACACTCCCTAGGGAAACAACAACTTGAACTTTCAACTCACAAATGATCAGGTTGTGCACCTTGAAACCACAGCAAATTTGTGTGGCAGTCAGCTTGACATCAAATGCATGTCAACAGGAAGGGCATTGAAGTTGGACAACATTTTTCACTAGAGAGGGCATTCATTATTCCAGAAAAGGGATTTGTATTTGCAAAAACATATGAGATTAACAAAAGAGAAAATTTGAACATTTTGTGTCCAAGCATTTAATTTGGCACCAAAAATGGGTCACTCATGTTTGGCAACTCATTCTTCGATCACTGTTGCCAGGTAGGAAAATAGTTGAGTCATTTACAACAAAATATACTGTTCCTTGTCAAATCAAACCTAAGCAATAGAAGAAGCCAAAGCAACTTAAGTATTGTCTTTTCTTAATCTTTTGTTAGCTGCAAAGAAGAAGACTTTTGTTGTGTCATTTTGGTAGGACAGCTCAATTTTGGCTGCTGTTCATACTGTGGGCACAGCTACCGCATGCAAGGGTGTTAAGCAAATCTTTCTTCATAGTTTTTCTGTTTTTTGAGTCGGGAGGTGTAACAAAACACTTAATGTAAGTTTGCAAGCCACATCCAGGTCATTTCTGCGATTCCCAAACACTTACTAGAAACTGCAAAAACAGTCAAGCTACCCTGACTGACAAAACTGTTTGTCAACTGTCACCTTCAAGGTCAATTGACCTTATGAAATGAAAAAACAAATTGTATCATTCAGTGCCTTTATTGAACTAAAAGCTAAGCTTACTGAAACTGTAACTGCACTTTTGCTTTAATAGTAAACTGGAATGAGATCCCAGTTCAAATGATGTTGACTAGAAAAATTATTACATTTGCATGCAAAAGAAAGACTTAATGAATTTTAGTACAATCTTGTACATAGAATACTAATGTTTCCAATAAAGAACTTCATTTCTATGAAATTTTGAAAATTTTAGATTACACCCAGTGTAGTTACAGCTATAGCCAGATATATTATATCATACTTTTACCATTCCAAACAATACCCCAACAATTACAAAGTTTTTACAATACCTCAGTGACGAAAATCTATACTCTTTCCAATCAGACTTCTGACCAACTTATTATGAAAATAAATTTATAAAAAGTTATATTTTTTAGAATTTATGATTAACGTTAATGAAGAACAATGTTTTTCAACTATATAGGGCCAGTAGAGTTTCTTCTGAGTACAACTGTCCCATGCTATGTGACGTTTTACTGGGAAGTTAAGAAGACTGCTATGGATGCTGCTCTTTGTGAAGAGAACACACAGCAAAGAAGCATGTTTGATGATACACAAGATGACAGCAGTGATTCTGATTTAGAGGATGTACCTAGTATGCGTGTCATTCCACTTGAACATATCCTGCAGGGTTCATACAAGGACCGCAGTGCATCAGAATTGTATCCTTGACAAACCACAATCATGAATTCTAGCTTGCCTTCCAGACAATGAACTCTGAAATTTTCCTTGCCCTGGGCAAGTCTTAGTTTACTTTTTTTTTATTTAGTTGGCAGATGACTTGCCTGGGCCCTTGCCCATCAGGCGAGTGAAAATAAAAAGTTACTTGCTAGGTAGGACAATCTACTTGTCCTGGATGACCAGACGGCACATTTTATGAACTTTGACAGTCAATGCTGAATGTAAAAAGTAAAGTGGTTGAACAGAGCCTATGCCTTATTAATTTTTACTTTCCCATCCAACCCATTGCAACAAAGGAAATCAAAATTGGCAGGTAACAGATTATTAGCTATTGGAGCTATTTGTTCCTCATGTGCCTGAAATGGTATAGACTTGATCTATCTTAATTTCAAGACTTCCTTAATATCAGTACAGCTATGAGGCTGGGTCAGACATGGAAATCTTGGCTGTGCCTCCATCAGATCTGGAATATGAACCACCAATGAATGGTGCTGGCACCACAAGCAGCTTGAAATATGTGCTAGTGGTGACTGTAGAGATGTCCATGAGAGATGATGAACGTGGACCACAACAACTCTCTGACATTGTAAGATACCTTGTGATACAGTGGAATCACAAATATGGATTGAGCACTTTCATAATTGAAGTCCCTTGTATATCAGAATCTTGACAGTGTACTAATAATTGTAAACATCTGCAGCCAAGTGTCAATCAGTTCCCTCTATTGACCCTCAATCAACACTTTATTAACATCTTGATTGACATCTCGATCAACTTCTAGATTGATACTCGGTCAACACTAGACTGACACTCGATTGGCATCTCGATTGACACTCGATGGTTGATGGACTGCAAAAATTAGTCAACTCTCAACTGACTGTTGACTGAGATGTGGATCAAGGGTCGACCGAGTATTGATCAAGATGTTGATCTTTGATTCATCGGTCAGCACGTCTTCAAGACATGCTGACAGACGAATCAGAGGAAGAGGAATTTGGATTTATGCTTGGACAAGTTATCCATCTCAAGCAGACAAATTACCCATCTCAGACGGTTAATTCTCAGACGAGTAATCGTCCCTAGTACCATATGAATTCTGCCAATGTTGATTTTAGTGACAGGCTGGTAACTTAATAGTTTCACTTTACACCCTCATTTCAGGTTGCTCTTATAACAGTGATAAATCTTTCGCATTCTTCTGCTGGTAAACATACCAGCAGCATAGCAATGCAGTGTGTACAAACCGCAGAGGGGAAAATATACAGCATCAAGGTATGTTATGTCATGTGAATCCATAATCCAGAAATTGAAGATTTGTCAGTATGATATTAATGCTCAGGACTGTGTAATTTTGTTTGTTGAAGGACAAATCAAAATCAGTTTTTTTTCTCAGGGAGGAGGGTTGAGAAGAACCCTGGGCAGGGGGAAGGGGAACTCCCTATAATGGCCTATATGAAGAGGCTGATCCGTTCAAAAGGGGTACCTTTTTTAGACTTTAGGTATATGAAAGGCATTTAGGTACAATGTGAATGTAAACTGAATGAGTAATACTTGTTTTTCTGGTAATGCTTGATGTTCTCCTGTCGTATTGTTTATTAAATTCATTCCAAGGGTTTAGGAAAGGGATGCAGTGCTCTTCAGAAGGTGTGAAACTGGTACTATGAAAGGGGTACCTTTTCTGTCAAAATGGTATACAAAATGGTTAGAGATTGGACCCTGGGGCAGAGCCTCCCCTTATAAAACTTAATAGAGTACCCCCCTGGGGCCGGGGGGGGGGAACAAAGCCTAAGAATGAGGTTGAGGACATTCTTTAGTTCTCCTTTTTTTTTCATTCATACAATGTAAATCTTTGAATGCTTAGAGTTGTTTTCAATCGAGTCTCACAAAAACCAAAACCAAAGAAATCACTTTGGTCACTTGTAATCACAAAGGGTTTGGACAATGCAGTGAACCAATGAAAACTCAAAGCAAGTATTTTGTACCAGACACAACACGTGGGAAAACATGTGAGAGTCACAATTGGTTTTGGTTTTACTTTTGATTGGAAGACTAAGTGGCGCAAGTTTTTAAGCCAATTGCTTTTTGTGGTAAATCAAAGCAAATACGAATTACTTTGTACACTCCAGTGAAAACCGCTCTTTCCTCTATAACTAAAAACCTCTGATAATCACTGACCTGAACTTGAGCCCAAAGATGTGTACTGAAGCTAAAGCTATTCAGGAACTGTCCTTTGCTAACTAAGCTTTTTTCCCTCAAACCCCTGCCCCTTGATTCTTAATCCATAGAAACTATTTGTAGCAGAGAGTGATGATATCACAGAAATACAGACCTCGCCATCTGGTCAAAGGACATCAACCCAAGTAGCATCATCATCATCACTACCTGAAGATGGCAATTTATCTGCCGCATCATCTGAACTGAGTAATGCAGTGTGTATTGTTTGCCGAGCACTGCCTGTGACCAGGGCCTTCCTACCATGCAGGCATGCATGCATATGTGGACTCTGTTTCCAGAAGCTTAGTTATTGCCCTATGTGCCGAGGGCCCATCCAATCATATTTTAAGGTACAAGATGAACCATTTATTGACGACGCCGAGTCTGATGTCAGCACTGAACTTAAGAGAATGTCAATAGGTGAAATTCTAAGAGGCGTATTTTCTGCAAGCTGATTAATCTACAAAATTACTCAACATTATGGTGTATTTTCAATACTGCAGTTCATTAATCTACTAGTTTCTTTAATTTATACCTGTTCCGATAGTAGTTTAAAAAACAGGCATTAAATTAATAAATATTGAATAAAGGAGTAAATAAATAAACAAATAAACAAACAGATTTCTTGGTACATTTCTTTTGAATGACTGGAAAAAGTAAGGTAAAGTCTGCATGGAGCTGCGGTCCATACCACCCAAGCTTATCCTGGTTTCTGTAAGCGACTGGCAGTATTCCCCACCCCCATCCCCTGAATGGCATACTGTTGTCTGTTGAAGGGTTACCATTAAGTATTACACAAAATGTAAATTTGTCAGTATCCATTTATACACCTGAGTTGGGAGAGGTACTGTGAAAGTAAAGGGTCTAGCACTAGAACAGAACAATGTCCCCGGCCAGTGGATTGAACCTGGATAATTAGATCCCGAGTTCAGCACACTACCCCTGATCCACTGTGCCTCTCAGGCAAGGAAAAAAGAAGACTGGATATTAATTATTATGATATCTCTCAGTTAGTACGCATGCTGTGATTGGTCAATTTAGCAGGCCATATTCAACTGTACACCCCTCTAAAATTTAAAGCTGTTTTTGTTGCTGAAATGTTTCGTGCTTTATCGCCAAGTGTTTTTAACTTTTAGAGCAAGTAAAAGTTTGAAACTTTCTTTTACTTCTGCAATGTGTATTAAAAGCTGCTAACAACAATTGCTGATTTAACAACGATTTCAAATTGACTCGTTTTGCTTTCGAGGTGCATCAGAAATTTGAAGCCACTCTGCGTGAATAGAAATCGTTCCCAAACCCAGCAGACACACAGTAGAGATATAATAGACATCTTACTAGCCTCGCATTCTTAGCTTGTACTGTAAGTTACGGATCCTTGTTTTTCCCCCTTTGATTTATGCCCCATGTGCTTCGCGCTTGGGCCATAAATGGATGGGGAAAAAACTTGGACCGCAACTTTTTTTTTTTAAACTCAGACCGTAACTTACAGTATGGCCCTCAAGCTCAGTTTGTAAGAGGTATTTATGCACTCACTTGCATTAATTTAGGATGTAACCCAGCATGGATATGACAGATATTTGGGCAGAAACTACAATATTGTATGAAATTGCTTTTCATACAAGTTGGTTTATATTGTAATGCAACTGACAAAAGTTAACTGTGAAAAGGGTCGTATTTCACCTTTTATGGTTTATGGGTTTTTTCTGGCAAAGGTATTTCAATCAGGTAAATATGTATGAAACTTGACCAGAATTTAAGGACTTGAGAAACACCATCTTTTGGTCATTCTGATGCTCCATTCATGGTGACAAAATTGCATCCAAAAACTGTGCCTTTCAGTGGGTTAAGAGCATTATATTTTTCCTGCGAGAATTTAATGTTCCCCTCCCCCCCCCAAAAAAGGCATTCCAAATCTAACATTCCACCCCAAAGGCAGATTTGTACTGTGTGCATGCGCTTTCCGTTCGTGCTTAAGTGTACAGTTTCTTATGGTAAGTCTCACCTTCTGAAGAAGGGCTAAGCCCGAAATGTTTAGTAAACCAGCCACTATTTTGGCACTTTTAAGAGCCTTCAGCCTCATAGGTTTAGTTTATCGTTTTAGTGTCACATGTGTTTTTTTTGCTCGTTTCTAATATGAGCCAAGTAGTCCATCAGGCAGGAGCATATCCAAGTTTCAGTGGCATGAAGCAACTAAGAATTTTTCTACTCCCCCACTCCCCCCCCCCCCCCCCCCCCCCTGGAAATTCCAATCCCCCATTGCAGGGTTACCCCCAGCATTTAATTCTCTGGTACCCATTTATACACCTGCACCTGGATGAAGAAAGGCTCTGTAAGAATATGCAACTGTTTATTGAACACGAGACGATTACTTCGTCCTGGATTG